GAAACAAAGCAAAGCTTATAATAATTTTCCTTAAATGGAACTGTTTCACAGATAAAGTGTCGCTGAAATTCCGTACTAAAGACGGTATAAAGTCCCTTTATCGGTCAAAGTCTTGGTAAATCAAGCAAACTTTTTATAAGTGCCTGTATTACTCTCATAGTACACGATATCAACGTCTCCCCACAGAATGTTTCCAGAGGGTCGCTACATTGGCAATATATTAAAGTAGTGTATAACTTTAAATTTTTATGTATTTATTAATTTATTCGAAAAACCCTCTGCTGGATGACCCGGCATATCGAATTCAATTAGGTTTCGCATTACTCTAATAATCATAATACAAACAGAGAATGTTACGGTATAAAATGATACATACAGCTACCAACTTATCCATGGATGCTTCAGCCTGGAAATCGCAAACTACTTCATAGTTTCTCACCGATACGAATTTAGTACCTTACTAATGTCTTTATTATGCATTGGTTTGATTGAATTGCCAAGAATTGCACTATCGTCAGCTTTAATAATTTCCCTCTCGATGCATTCCGTTTATTGTGTTCCAGAATATGCGGTGTCGTTTCCGCACTCCACGTTCCACAGCCGCCGAGTTCTTCCTGCATTCCTTCTCCACCACCTGTTTATCTTTTGTTCTTTTCGTTCTTTTTCTTACTTAACCCGGCGTTGCACCATCTGACCAGGTTTACTGAGGCACTCCTTCTTCCTCTCTCCCATGATATTAATGATTTCTCTTATGTAACTCAGACCTCACCCAAACGATAGGGTTTAGATACAGGATTGTTGGTTAAATTTTGGCTGGATGCTTTTGTTCTTCAGGACCTGAACTGCTTTAATTTTGACCTTGCGAGAATGGTTCAATAGTGCTGGTGCTGGATTTATGCTTTGCACTTCAAACTCTTTTCTGGCTGTTTTCTTACTACTGGTTCTCAGTTGTTCTTTTGTTAGTCGTTTAGAGTAGCCACAGTTTCTGAGAGTTCTCCGAACGTAAGTGAATTCCATTTGGACACCAGTGTCAGTCTGAGCTCCAGTCGAGTTATCCGCTGGCTAGAGTGCTAGCAATGCGCTTGTTCACACAGTGTACGTGATTCGAATCGAACCACAGAGACTTATTGGTATGCGTTGGCTTGCCATACAGTACAATTACGTAATTGTTCTTTTTTGCAATTTACATATTTATTATTTATTCCATTGTCATTGCTTCTTCGCGAAGATATAAATAAATCGAATCCTCTAGAGGAATTGTGGGAAGTTTATGAGAATCCCTATCTAATCCTTCGAAACTTCTCCCAGAAGTGACCAGGCAGAAGATACGTTTGTGAAAGTTAGTACGGTTATGACGTCTATGAACTAAGGGTAATGAGGTGCCCTGCGATTAACGTAGTGTGGTAGTTTTTCGAAAACGCTCCAACCGTTCGTTATCTGGTTTTAATTGGATTTGTTCTTCGATGTTGTCCCTGGAGACAAACCGCTATAGAAAGTCGAACTTCGACGAATAACACGTGTAATTGGTTTTGCGGCTTACAGGCTACGCGAATGTTTACCTACCGGTCGGTTCTTGGCATACGACGTATCTCACTCTAAAGCTGGAGGGCAATCCCTCATTTCGGTAATGAGGAGAGTAAATTGCAAATTGTCTGGTTAACTACATGAACGTAACAGCCTCAACGAAATGCAGCTGCCGATTATCTGCCCGGAGGTTGGTTTTGCAGATAGCGCTTCCGGTCCAACCCCGTCAGCAGGTGAATACGCATAGGCGTTTTTCGTTATACTCGATCCTTAGTGTCTGAGATGACGGATTTCATCTCAATTCAAAGCAATGACGACATAATCTGCTAGTTGGACAGCGTGAAATTTTTTTTAAATGAAATTTTTTAGGTCTTGATTGTTCAACTGGCGTAACTGGTGCTAATTCCTCTCCGTTGTCAGGAGTTACCATTCAAACGTAGTTCTTGGCTTTCACCAACATATCTTGGCCATAAATCGTCATTCTTCGTTCCGGGTAGAAGGGGGGGTAGGTTTGGTAAGAGGGTTGGCATGATTTTCTCAAAATGCACGTAAATGGTTCATATATTTCGGCCTACAACGCGGAACCTTCTTTTACGTAAGGGTTCCTCACTGTATAGGCGTCAGGCTCATAGGTAATAGGTGTCAGGTTTGCATCCCGGTTGGCTCACTCGTTTATCATCCTGCAAAGATAGATAAATGAGTACCAGTTTTTGGGAAGGAAATAAGACACATCATATAGTACTACTTCACCATAGTACAGCCTCTGAAAGACAAGATCGGTAATGCTACCCAAAAATATGCCATTGATCATGAAAGCGGCATCCCATTGATTACAGTATTCTGTTTCCTTTCTTCTTTCATAATGCTCAGGATTCATTTGTGCACTTCAACGTGTGCAGGTCAGGTATTGCTTTTCTGCTGTGCGTATTGAAGGCATGTCAGAAGACTATGCATTTAGTTCAGCATCACAGTGACTACTAAGAAAGGAGTCTTAACCCATCGCCTAGTTGTTAACGCACCAGTCTCCCATCCTGCTCTACAGGCAATGTTGCTCAAAACCCGTTTTTGCCATTCTAACTCCGGAACAGAATATCATACTGTATTAACCAATGCTCAGTCCTAAGTGGGACGAAGAATTCGATTCTCTATCACCACTGTAAAAGCCAGCAGCTTTTCAGTGACATTTATTCGATTCACGACTTTCGTCCAGCGCGAACATCTATGTGCCCTTGTAAAAAAACGGCAATCAAAGCTTAAAGCAAGTAAGGCTTCAACAGCAGTACAGCAGAACATCGAATGGTTGGCATGTCACCTCGGTCATCCCACGAAAGTTCGGTCGGCACAGAGCAAAGTCAACGAACTAATGCTGATCGAGGAACACATCGAAAATATCCCTCATGTTGTTTGTGTTCAACAACCACAGCTGAACGAAGACCTCCATGTCTCTGCTGTCAGATTCCGAAAACTCTGCACTGTTCAGAAGCAAAAGAAACTGTGAAACTTAAAATCGAGGAGACTAAATGTATTCTAAACAACTCCTCCAAAGATAACAAATGCCTATTATTTAATGTGAATTATGCCTGAAAGCTGAACTGTACATAGCTTAAAACATTCGCGTATTTCTAAACAGCAGCCAATTCCCCACGTGTTTATAGCAAAGGGAGTTGCTTAAGCTGGAAAGCTCTAATTAATCAGCTCAATTTCAAATGGTACGCCTGCCTCTTTATCGCATAAGAAATGGTGCAAACATCGAACTCGATTTTCACAAATTTGGAATCCATTAAAATTGACAAGCCTACAGCCTGAACACACACAATAGTGCTTTATAAACATTTTCACTTTAACGTGCAACCTTAGCGAATGGAAAAGTGTCAGATTAACTTTTATATTTCCTTGTTATGCACCACTGACGTTGTTGCCAGTACCTCGCGTCGTGTGGGTAACCAGGTTTCTGTTAATACCACGGCAAGGGGTTACAATGAGGCAATGAACTGAAAGCGACAATATGACAGTCATCGTGGCCGTGGTTAGTAAAATCTTAGATGATCATTTTCGCCCATTGTTAAGCCTCTATGCTCTCTTTCTTCGTAGCTCGTCCTCACTATACCATGGAATGGCCGCTTTTAACCTAAACTGTAGTACAACAAAAACAGACAAAGCCTCGG